AGAGAGAGAGAGAGAGAGAGAGAGAGAGAGAGAGAGAGAGAGAGAGAGAGAGAGAGAGAGAGATAGAGAGAGTGAGAGAGGGAGAGAGAAGAGAGAAAAAGAGAGATAGAGATAGAGAGAGAGAGAGATAAAGAGAGAGAGGAGAGAGAAAGTGAGAGCAGTCGGCGACTCGGGGGAGAGGGGAGGAGGGGGAGACTCACCTTGTGTTCCTCTATCTGAGCCAGCACGGTCTCCTCATCCTCAGGGAGAGGTCCCGCGTACCTCAGCTGCATCTCTGCGTCTGCCAGCCACTCCAGCAGCATGTGCACCGACTTGTGGAAGTCCTCACCCTGCACAGGGAAAAACGCACGCGTGTGATGTCACACCGTCACAGTTGTCACATTGTCACATCGTCAAAGTTGTCACATTGTCACATCGTCAAAGTTGTAACATCATCATTTTGACATATCGTGAGTTGTTACATCATCACATTGTTACATCGTCACGACCGTCAGTTGTCGCATCATCACAGCTACGGCATTGTCACATCATCACAGCTACGGCATCGTCATATCATAAATAGCACGTAATCATTATACAATCAGAAAGATGTCACACCGAAATGTCATTGTAGGAGAGGGGGGGGGTGTCAACGACTTAATCCCACTATATCGCGCAATGACTTTAATTTGATATACGTATCTAATTTCGCAAGTAGTAGTAATTTAGTAAGTCTTCGGAACTTAGTAGTTGTATAAAACCACTACAAATAATTGACAAATCACAAATAATTGACTCGACAAATCGCAGAAGCAGAAGGCGCAGCACACGCAATCACGTGCGGATGAAAACGCGTCGTCGCGGCGACCGTTACCATGGCGAGAGCGTCGTCGAGCCGCTGCTGCTTGCTGACGCTGAGCTTGCAGACGCTGTCCCAGCGCGTGCTCAGCTCCAGCAGCTCCTCCTGTAGCTGGGCCGTGTCCTCGCTGGACGTCTCTAGTAGCTGCTGCGCCGCCTTGCGCACCGTGTACACGCTCGCTGAGCGGATAACCTGCTCATGCTGGAACGCCTGGTGACAGAGAGAGAGATTGGTTGGTCATTGACGGTCGGACGAGCGAGTGTGAGCACGGATGAAGGACGTACGAGGTAGTTGATGTATTATTATTATTGTTATTATTATTATTATTGTTATTGTCATCATCATCATCATCATCATGATTACAATAATGAATAATATTATTAATAGCAAGCCAAACTGTAGGCGAAAATTATTCGAGCTAAACAGGACGAGATTGCATGATAAGCATTAGTAATAGTAAGCAACATAACAAGTTAATTATTTCACGATTACTTTCCACGACAAAAACGGGGAGTGGGGGAGGAGGCCGAGATTCTATTTTAGCATTCAGCCCTGTAACAAATGCTGGAAACTGCCGGAAAATGTTGTGGAAATTCCAGGTAATGTCGGAAACGCTGGGGACATTACAGCGAGGTACTAGCAATATCGCCGCTCACCTTGTGTTTGTCCATGAGTGCCATGACAGTGTCCAGGTCCCCGTGGACGGGCTGGTCCTCCGATAGCTCTGGCTCGACCATGTACAGCCACTCGAGCAGCGACTGCATCGCGTCCTTGAACTGACCCGAGAACAGCAGGGCCTCCTCCAGCTTCCGTTGCCTAGCAACGCGGAGAGGAAAGAGCTCGTTAGTCGTTTGCATCTCGACGAAAAATGGCGGATTGTTCGCGGACATGAGAGCTCGTTCGTTTACTCGTCGAAATGCGCGGGGGTGGAATATACAGATGTGATGCATCGTGTAAGCAACTGCATAGATTGTAAGCTACTATACACATATGCACATAGACACCCGCGCACGCACGCACGCACACACACACACACAACAGCACAAACACACACAGACGCACACACACACACACCCTCCCCACACGCACCTTTCGACAGACATGAAACAGACGACGTTCCACTTGGTCTTCAGCGTGTTGAGCATCGCCTGCAGGTTCGTCACGTCAGCGGTCGGCGCGCGCTCCTTCAGCGCCCGCCCGGCGCGGAACGCCGCGTCGTACGCAGGCTGCCGCCCGCCCAGCAGCTTCTGCAGCTGCTTGTGCTTGGCGAGCTGCGCGCGTATGCTGTCCGGCTCGGTGCCGACGCTCGTCTCCGCACGCAGGGTGTCCTCCGCCTCCGTCAGCCAGTCGCACAGCTCCCGCCACGCGTCGTCAAACTACGGGGGGAAGCGTAGGGGAAGAGACGTTCTATTTATGGGGTTATGTACTTATTAGGGGATACGACAGGCTATTTATTTGAGCATGATCTGTGTTCTCCGTCAGACAGCTCCCGCCACGCACCGTCAAACTACGGTGGAGGATGGGGGTTATTACAGTCTTGTTTATTTTAGTCAAGACGAGGTAAAGAGTTTTATTACGGAGGTTATACGACAGCCTTGTTTAAGCAGCGATCTATGTTCTCTGTTAGTTGAAGTGCAAGGTATGGAGAGGCAGTTATGACATTGCGAGTCTTGTTTAACTCATGATCTGCGTTCTCGTTCGTTCCTTGCACGACCGGTGGACACCATGACTTACTCAGTGGACTAAATACTCCGGCAAATGCACGTAAATTATTAACGTAATTACACGTATGTTTCATAAGCTGTAATGACGGCAGGCGCGCGGTAACCCACGGCAACCGCGTTCCCTACCTCCTTCGTCTCCTTGTAGCCGTGGTCAAGCTGTCGCGTGCGCTCGGCCGACCTCGAGACGGCCTTCTCCCAGCGATGCTGCGCGCTAACGAGCAGGTTCTTAATGAGTATCACGTCCTGCTTCTGGCTGAAGTACTTCAGATGGGTGCCGCTCTTGTCGAGCGCCATCATCACCTCGCGGTGGCTCGCTATGTCCTTCTGCAGCACCTGTGAGAGAGGGAGGAGGACGAGACCACAGCGTCAGTCTAAGTTTTCGCACTGTGGTGTGAGCATGATGATGAGATATGATAAGAAATTAAATATGATCTAATATATATCATACGTATATACTTCATAAGATATTAATTAGTAATGTGTAAATATGATTAAAATATACATGTAAATATAATATCAAATATATATGTAGTAATGTGCAAATATATAAATAATATGATATAATATATGTGTAAATGTGATGATAGTCTCTATCAGTTGGTTGATCCAGGTACTG